GATTCCGAAAACTTCCGAAAACTTATAAACGATTCCGAAAAATTCCCATGTGCATTTATGCGCATTTTCATGCGCATCATGCGCATGAAATGCGAAAAAATTGAAATTTTCACATCACTACCCACAACTCTAATAAAACATCCTTATTATTTTATTTTGCTGTTATTATTTTTTATAAAAGTACTTTAAACTGTATAAACAATATAAAGTTTAATTAAAATTAATAACCAATCTGACAATGCTTACCTAAATATAAAATCTTGCTTTTTGTAAGGTCTATTGCATTAATTGTAATGCGCAGGTGCGTGATATGTGAGATATAGGATTATCTCACACAATGCATATTTCTAGATATAATTATTAAATATTATAAAGTATTATAAAACATTTAGATATATTTAATATTATTTATTAACAAACATTATTCAAAGGAAATTGTCATCATTAGTAGCCATTTCAATCCCTTTTGTAAATCTCACTCATTAATTAATTTTCTTTTATCCCAGCTAAGTATTTCAACATGTCAATCAAATATTTATACAAGTGAATCTTGATATAAGAAAGTTCACAGGTCCAATCAAATCTTTCTTATATCAAGAGTTTCTTATAGGAGCCTCTCGTTATAAGAAAGGTCTTATGTTATAAAAAAAAACTTTCCTATATCAAATGTCGTCAAAAAACCTATAAAGTATCTTACAAATCGATGCACATGAGCATTAATTTCATTATTATAAATTAATGCTCATGAATTGTTAGTCATATTGAATAATATTGCTAATTTGTACACGATTTGATGCAAAATAAATATAGTAGTATGATTGTTAATTGAATTAAATAACATCATTTATTTGTACGTGATTAATACACAATATATAATATTCACAAAATTGTATTCAAATAAACTGATCCTATATAATTTCACAAGTAACATTCTTATAATAATTAGGCTGCAAAGATTAGTTTCTTTAAAAATTTTTTTGCAATAAAGTGTATAGGATAGTATTGTAAACAGAATGTATAAAGTAATTAGTAAAGCATTTAATAGCACTATATATTTAATAAATGCTTACCCATACCTTTAATAAAAACCAGCTAATTAATTTTGATCAGGTTATGTATATATCATGAATACTTAAATAAAAACCTAATAAATAGAGTTTTAATACAAAGTTGCTACATATAAACACTAAGTCAATAAAATGTTGAACTAAATCTCTATTAAATTTATTTATTATTGATCAAATTTAATTTTTTTTTAGATTTTAAATTTAAAATTTTAAATTTTTAAAATTTTTAAATTTCAAATCTTAAATTTAAATTTTAAATTTTAAATTAATTTGAATTTTAAATTTAAAATTTTGATAAATTAAAATTATTATAAACAGACTTTAAACTCTTTATGACTATGAATTAAACTTGCAGATATGAATCTAGAGTTGTTTGCCTTGTAGTACAATATTATCTCTTACAACATCTTTTTTAAAACTATCTAATTTTTTAATAAAAGACCCATTCACCTTAAATCCATCTTTTTTATCAATAAACTGAAGAATTATATTAATATTTGTAATAATTTCTTTGTAAAAAACACAAACTTTGGTTTCAACTTCATCATCTTCATTACAATCATGATTGAGTATAATATTGATTATTTTTATATCATTGGTCATTACATTAGTTTCAACATTATGGTCAGCTTCAATATAATTATTTGCAAGTATTAGGTTGGTTATAGAAAAATGATTAATTAGAAACTGGATTTCTGTTATAAGGTCAATAGAGTTTGCAATACTTAATGTTTGTGAACTTTGTAAGATAAGATCAATTAGTTCAAAATCCTCTATTAATTCTTAAGAGAATAAGAAAAAAAATTATCTAAAAAAATTCTAGTCTTGATTCAATAGTTATAAATTGTTGTATTAGAAACTTGTTCTTATGTTTCAGCAAAAAGGTCAATATCATCTTTGATATTAATTAGTGAAGTATTTTTACTAATTTTTGTTGCTTCTTCGTAAGTTGCAATATAATTTTTATAAAATAGTTTACAATAGTATGCATTAAAACTTCAGATTATATCAGCATCATAAGTTTGCAAATATGCTGTCATAAGAGAAGAAAGATAGTATATTTTAATATTTGAAAGAATGAATCTCTCTTCAAGGGTGTGTAATAAGGCTTGGTCTATTAATAAAAGTATTTTTTATTTAGTTTATTTTATTTGTTCTTTAAGTTTTTTAATATAATGATTAAAAATTAAAAGTTGCATTCAGGAAAAAGAATTCCAGTAGTAATAAACTAGTAGTTTTGTTTTATTAATATGTCTAATAGTATAAGGGTATTGATATTTGTAAATAAAATGAAGTAACAATTTATCATCACCAGTACTATTGCATATTACTAAAATTATGACCTGATTTTTTGTTTTTTTTTCAAGAACAGAACTACTTACAAGAGTTTTTTCAGATTCGAGATGTTAGTACAAACCAGTTTCATCACAATTATATACATCTTGGGGGTGATATTTTTTAATAATATCTTTTAGTTTATTACAATAACATAAAAAATTATTTATTAGAGTACTAGCAGATTCTTCTTGTCTTGCATATTCTTTAATGTAAAATTGTTTTTTAGAGTTTAAGAGCCACCTTTCTGACCTCTCAAAATCATTAATCTTTAGTTTTTCAGCAAACTGAAAAGCTTTACATTGAATAATTGTACTTGTAATTGTCTGGTAATGTGCTTCAGCTTTTAAAACCTATAAGTTTAATACTTCTTCTAGTTGAGAATACTTAGCTATGTAATTGTATTTGGATTTTGCTTGTGATAAGTTAGAATCAATTAAAAGAAAATAATCTTGTTGTTTAAGTATTTTTGAGACTGTTGATTTGCCAATTTAAATTTATTTACAAATGTAAGTTGGGTATAACCTTTCTTTCATAAACAACAAATTTCAACTTTATAAGTCTTATTAATGTGATTCATTTTGTTTTTTTACTGTCTATTACTTGTCTCTTGTTATTATTAGTATAATTTGTATTAAATATTCTTCTTTCAGAAGATGAATCATAACTTGAAATATTATTCCTAACTGATGTTCTATTGACCAAAAATCCTCTACCTAATGTTTTAATTAAAAATTTAATACCTAAAGATCTACTAACTAAAGACCCATTAACTACTAGTAAAGATCAACTAGTTAAAGTCTCAACCAACAATCTATTGACTAAAGACCTACCACCTGACAACTTATTGACCAAAGATCTACTAGTTTTCTCTATTATTATACTTAATCCAAAACTAGTAACAATTATAAAATAATAATATGAGACAATTTAACTTGTTCTCTATTCTTCTATTTGGTGACTTATATGATGAAATTAGCAATTTAAAAAACTTTCTGATAGCAATGATTTTTAAAAAAGTATTTTTTTAGGACAGTTAAGGCGTAAGCTATTAAAAATTAAAATTAGAATTTACCTATTGAGATAGTATTATAGCAAGTATTGCATATGCAATGTTTTATTAAATTTTTTACAATGCATTTTAGGTAGAGTTTTTTTTTTCTTTGTTTTTATTTAATGCATTATACTTTTCTGTATTACATATTTTTATTATATATTTGCTTTATTATTATACTTTTTTATTGTACTTATAACAAAGACAGTGTCTGATCCAAAATGAATTTCTTTCACTTGTAATCAATTACAAATTAAATTATTTATATTGAATTAAATTGTGATGGATATAATCTCTTATTAGTTTTAATATATATGTAATATTAATGGTCTCTGCTGTTTATTGCACTATATTAATTATACTTTTTTATTTTTTGTTACACATTTCATTAAACTTTTTGTATCATATATTTAATGCATTACACATTTTGTATTATATATTAATTTTAAGATTTAATTGGCTAAAAGTCATATGAATAATGTGGTTTCTTATATCACAACCAATTTAATTAATAAGAGATAGCCCAAATATTCTTATATACTTATATTGAGAGTTTTTTAGTAAACTTTCTTATATTAAGTAAAATTTATTAAATTTAAATTAAAGCCAATTAAAACCTTTTTTATAAGCCAATTTTCTTATATTGAGAGTTTCTTATATTAAGAGTTACTTGTATAAAGTAATATATATTGGCTTTAATATAATTTTATATTAATTTAAGCATCCATAAACTGTGCTATTTGACCAAGTGGCTGTTTTATTATAAATTCTATGGCTGTTTGAAATTAATTCTTCAGTTAACATCAGCTAAAGGCTCTCTCTAAAAAATGAACAACTAATCAAAACACTAGATAACTCTTACCAATCTCTTGATTTACATTACTTTTTGTTTAATTTTATATTACAAGAGTTCTAAATGTGATGTTAACCAAAAATTCAATTGCAAAAAGCTTAAATATAGTTACCTTTCTAAGTGCATCCTGTTGAGACATAGTGAAAAAAATTAAAATTTTGTACTTAGAAAAGATTTGTATTTATAAAGAATAAAATATATAGGGTTAAATAAGTTGAGCTAAACCATATTGTGCATTTAGAAAGATTTTACATAATACTTGCACTTAGAGACATGCAATTTGGAGGTGCAACTATATGCAACCATTTCTATTGAATAAGCATATATTTATATTTACTTTTTTATTATGATTATCTTTAAAAAAGATGTTAAAAGATTATGTATAACCTTCTATATAATTCTATATTTTTTACTTATAAAAATGTGATATAAAGAGGTGTAGTTATATAGAGGTAGTTTTATTAATAATTTGGTCTTAAGTACTATGTTATTTTGGAATTTGGCAAGTCTGTTATTAAACTAATCTAACTCTTGCATAACCTATAGTAGCTAAGTCAAAATAGGATATTAAATTTGGCTGATAGTTTATTCATAGGTAAGTACTTGTTTCTTTTTCTAAGTCTTTTCTGCAATCTTTTCTTTTACTAATTTAGTTTTTTTTTGTTTACCTCAACTCAGGTTTGCACTATGTTGAATTAGAGTTGAAACTCTTCTATTATGTTATTAGTCTTGTTATATAACTTGTGACAAATTATTAATGATAAGCTAATAGTTTATAAATGAATAAATAATATAGACAATAGTGGAATTAACTAGTTTATTATACCACTTATATTTATTATATATTAGATATTTATTGGTATTAGAAGATTTATTTGCAAAAAGAACAACTTATTTTTTTTAAAGCAGAAATGTTCTTTATTCATAATAAATGTCTTATTTATATTCATAATTAATTTATGCTATAAATGCCTGATATTCCTTATGCTCAATATATATAATTAAAGGCTAATATGTTATTTAAAATATATATGGCTGAAGTAGTAGAAGTAACATAAGTATTATAAGTACTATAAATAACATTTTTGTTACTTATTGCATAACCTTGGATCAAATAAGGATTCTCACCCTGATTTAGATGCCTGTAATCTCAAAAATCAGACTTATACTAGAAATATTAGATAGTCTAACTTTTTTAGTTTAACTAAGTTGGTTACATTTAAATTGCATTGTAAAAACCAAAATAGTTAGATTATTTAACATTCCTATTAGAATATAATAATGATTTGATATAATTATAGAAGATTGATTATAAAGAAGATAACTGTATAATATTGCTTTATATATTATTAAAATTTATTATATTTTCCAAAATCTTTAGCATTAAGGTGATTTAGAATTAATCTGATTTCAAATTATAAACAGAAGATCATCTGATTGGCTAATAAATTCAATTTAATTTTACATTATTTATACAGTTTAAAGTATTTTTTAAAAATAAAAACCAACTATAATAAGGTAAAAAAATATATATATAGAAGTTTTTTTAAAATTGTAGGCTCTATAGTCAAAAATAGGATCTAATTCTCATTTATTTAAAAAAATTAGCTTAGTAATAAGTTGATTTTATTAGGTTTTGAGAAGTTATTACTATACTAACTTTTTTAAATAAACAAGAATTAGATCTTATTTTTGGCTATGGTGTTCTATAGCTTTAATAAAACTTTCAATAAGTTTTTTTTTACTTTATTATAGTTGGTTTTCATTTTTTTAAAAAGTACTCTAAACTGTATAAATAATGCAAAATTAAATTAAATTTATTAGCCAATTAGACAAACTTCTGCTTATAAGATTTTAAATATTTATTTTTTTTCAAAATAAGAGATCCAATAATCACATTTTTTTGTATAATAATAATATATGAAATAATTTATTTGATACCTAGATAAATTACTAACCTTTTAAGTACAAAATAAAACCTTTGTTATATTAATATATAGGTGCAAACAATAGAAGCAGCTTGCAATTAATCAAATTTTATAATTTTGATTAGTTAAAAGTAACAGGTAACTATCAGTTAATCTTATAATATGTTGATCCTATATAGCCTCATGTAATTTACCTTAGCATTATCTCAATTTTTTTATTATTAAAATTGACTTTCAATTATAATTGAAAAAATGTCTATTATGTCAAAATTTATATGCATATATTAAAAACTTATTTTTCAAAAAAAATGTAAAAATGAGCTGTTTCTATTGTCTGCACTCTATATTAGGATTAGAATTAGAAATAAGATAAAATTGTGCAAAAAACATTTTTGTTATATTATAAGACAGGATTACACAAGAAAGCATTTTTCAAATTTTGTTATAGGAGGGTAAGATTTAATCTAAACAAGTAATAAATATACTTATAATTATAGCTAGTGGTAGAATTACTAAATTACAGCATTTTGCCATGTAGTATAATTAATTATAACATAATACTCATCCAATTGCTATAAATATTATATGATATAATGCTGTAATATATTACAGCATTATGGCCCAAATTAATTATACTACCAACTATACTTATAGTAAAAAAAAACAACTTTTATTATCTGATTTCAAAATTTAAAAATGCATGTTAACAAGAGTCAACTGATTAAAAAGAAAGAGAAAAACTGGTCAGAGTCACATACCATGTGATATAACTCTCAGACTCAAACCATTGTAGCAGAGAGCAAGGTCAGGATCAAAGAATAGATCAATCTATAAAAATTGTATAAATCAACATGCAAACAGAGTACTAATAATAGAAAAGCCACCTATTACAATTGATATATAAATAACCAAAAAACAATATGCATCAACATCTTTTTCTATCTTGTCAAACAATTTCTCAACCCAACCTCTTCTGCTACATATAAAAGTTTTCTGATTTTGTCATTTTTCTATTTAACAGCCAGCTTGCTTCAAGCAAGCAAGAAACCACCAGCTAATGCTGATTCTTGCTTATTCTACTTCTTGTTTGTTCTACTGTTAAATAATCCCTAATGCAATCTTACTTGCTAATTTTCTGAGAGCATATTATCATTTTAATTAGATTTACTTAGCTAAATTTACTTATAATATCATAATGTATTTTGTGAACTTTATGTCTTTTAATTGAATTTATTTCTGGCACCTTTGACTAGCTGCATTTATTCAAGTATATAACTAGATGTATTGATGCTTTTCGAGAAGTTTTTAAATTTTTACTTATTTTAGAAATAATTTGTTTTGCATACTCTATACTTTTTGTATTCTATTATTACTTTTCTAATTTTACTTTCATTTATAGATTTTTTTATTAACTTCAAATAAATTAAATAAGATAATTCAGAATTAAAATTTTCATTTCTGATTTCAGATAAAATAAGTAATGTGTTACTTTAAAATACATAATTAATAAATCTTGTTTTTTTTTATATAATTATTTATTGGTAAATATTTATCAAATTTTATTAGCATGCATATTTATTTAATCTTCTTAGTTAAGATTTTAAAATTAATAGTAGAATTTTTTTAGCTCTCATATATTTTCAAAATAAGTTAATTCTGAATTATCCTATTGGTTTTAATATGTAGTAAAATGAACAAACATTTTTATTATTTTTGATATGAGATATTTGCTAGCAAAATACTCTATAAGCTATTGTTACACAATATTTTATTTGAAAAATCTTAATAAATCAATTATTTAAAAAATAATCTCACAATAGTTTTATTAAAACACAGTCAAAAATTTGTTTGTCTTACATTTTTATAACTAAATATTATAGTAAATCAAAAAATAATTCATTATTAGATGAGTTTTTGTAAAAAAAATTTTACTTACAGTTCTTAATTAGTGATTTTGTAAAATTAAATGTTATTTAAATTCATGTGCATAACAAATAATATATATGTATTATTTATAAAAATGTGACACTTGATTATTTATACATAATTAAATTTTTTTTCTAATTCACAATATATAATAAAGTAGCTGCACAATGCAGTTTCAAAAATAGTAGCTAACAAATAGTCCAAATAACATACAAATAAGAACTGATCTAGAATCTCATTAATATATTATAAAGCATTTGATGTATAGTACATTATAGGTAATCAACTTACATTAACTAATAAAACAAAAGTTTACAAGGCATTGTATAATAAATTAAACTGTATTAGATTATCAATTTTTGGGTTTAAAATTTATGCTTAGTTATTATAACTATGATATCACTTACATTTTTATTTTTTTGTATTCAAATTATACTTTGTTCAAATGCATATGTATATTTATATGTAATCTGTCTGAATGCATATGTATATTTATACATGATGAATCCATATATGAAAAATAAAGGAATAACTACTGACACAGTTTATTGATACAGCTAATGAAAAGCACTAATCTTAATGACATAGCATGAATAGCACTATAGTTAAGATTAGTGTTAGAATATGGCAATATTAGGAAATTAGATCATGTATATACTGTGTTGGTATTTATTTTCAAAAATAACCAAAATTTGATAAATAAATCATGTGGACAAATCATCTACACATCATGATTTCTTTAGAATTTTATTTTATATACAAAGAGTAAGTAATTCACCTGAGTGTCAAATAACTATTTTATATATTATTATTATATAATGCCAGAGATTTTGAAATATATTATAAAATGTTAATAAACAAAAGCAATTTTTTATAGTTATTATCCTATGGTCAATTCTTTATAATCACATTAAATTATTATTATATTTTGTACTCAAGAACAAATTAGTAATAAACATATAAAACTACTTTTATATAAGCACAATTAGATAGGTTTGGTCAGTCATTTTTGGTTAACTATTTTATGACAGTTAGCTGTATCTTAAGATTTAGTAATCCAAATCTGATGATTTTAATACCATTTAATGTTTCAATTAAATGAATCTAATGATATCAGAATCATTCAATTTGGATTATTAGATCTAAAGATATGACTAATAGATATAAATAGTTGACCAAATGATCAACTAAACTTATCTCTAAGCACAACCTCTTAGTAATCAAATTTTTATAAGTAAAAAAATGTGTAATTATATAGAGGATTAACTATATTGGTTTCATATCTTTTTTAAAGATAATTATAATAAAAAATTAAATAAAGATATATGTCTTTTTGAATAAAATTGTTATATACAGTTATACCTCTAAGCACATATCCTCTAAGTGCAATTGTTATATAAAACTTCTATAAATGCATAATATAGTATTGACCTAACTTATAAGAACTCTATATATTTATACTCTATAAGTGCAAACCTTCTTTAAATAAAAATTTTTTACTTTTCATTATGGTTCTGACAAGATGTATTTAGAAAGATGTGACTGTATTTAGAATTTACAATAAAACAACTACTAAGTTAGATAGCACTATTTATGTTTATATAATATTAGACCAAAGCCAATTTGTATAACTAACATAAAATTATTTAATTAACAAGTTGAAATATATTACTAAAATTTTTAAACAGATTTATATTAATATATAAATAATAAATAATAATTTTTGATATATAATAATATTAAATGATTATTATCATCATCAATTAGTAATGATTTTTATAAATTTTGTTAAATTTTTTTAAAGTTTGACTTTGATTTTCTTAATAACTACTAATTCAATTAGCTCAAATTTTTACTGTAAATAGTATATATATTTAACTATCTTATATTAAAATTTTAGCTAATTTAGCTTAATAGTTCATAAGAAATCACTTGTTACACAGAAGACTAGGATTATAATAATCTGGCCCAATATATAAGGAAGACTACAATATCTTTTGCAGCTGTGCAAGCCAAACTTAAAATGGTGAGCAACCTTGCAGAAACCCAATACCCATTCTTGAATTCCAACTTCTCTCTTAATTTCAAGGATCTTTCTTATTACAATATCTTTCTAATTTACTATAATCTTTCAACTCTACCATCTAATCAAACACTTCTAAATTTTCTCTAACATCTAAAAAATAATCTATTCAATAAACTATTTAAAATCTCTATCAATACTACACTTACTAAAACACATATTTATAAAAACTTAAACAATAGTATAATACTAAATCATATATTTCTCTCTAAATTACTTTATTATTAATACTATAACCTACTTATCAAATTATATTAACAATTTTCAGTTTTTAATGTATTAACAGACTCTGA